ATGTGCAGTATCAGGATATTGAGATGAGAATCACCAGCATTTCCAACTTGCATCTCTTACAGTATCCTCTGACCAGCAACCATTTTTGTCGAAAGGACTTTTTAAAAAGAGAGCAGAAGAGATGGTGGGTCAAGACCACAGACTGCATCCTACTGCCACTTCAGTGATTTTTATACATCCCTTTTGGCTCTAGTGGTAGTGAAAGAACCATCTACCTCTCCCAGTAAACCCTTCCAGACATCCGGTTACTCCTCTCTAATTTTTCTGAGGGTTGGGTAATAGTCATGTTAGACAATTGCATCAATACAACAAGGAATGTTGTGGCACTTAAAAAGAATTTGAAAAGGTTTTTTGGAGCAAGCTTTGTGCTGGGAGTTACAGTACCCATCACTCTGCTAACCATCTGCCAGTCGTCCAACTTTAACCTGTTTAGATCCCTTTTGACTGCTGTACACTAACAATGGAATCAACAAGTTGATTAGGCTAGCAGTATTAAGGTCACTGTATACTCTAAGATGGCTTATAAACCTCAAGGCCTAGAAAGTTAGTTAAGAAATACCTCAAAGACATAAAAAATTAAATAGATCAGAATTGTTGAGGCCTAGAAAGTTAGTTAAGAAATACCATGGAAAGGTGCATCTTATGGAGCGAAAAATATGGTATATCAAAGACATAAAAAAAATTAAATACATCAGAATTGTTGCTTTCACTCACATTTAGTAATCTTAGTATAATTCTATGGTTTGAATTGGCCTAACTATTGGAGGGAAAGTGCTACTCATTAATGAGGTTTTAGTTGTGTTCCTCAACATTTGTACAGTCAGGCCCGGGAAAGCAATCCTCACCTCATTAATGAATGGCTATTTGCCACGCTTCAAGGATTCTAGCCAGTGAATTCTTCTTTGGAGACATCAGCTGATGAAAATCTCTGCCTACCAATATCTTCATTACATGCATTTTGTGATGAAACGTTTTGAATAGTTAACAGAACTGACATTAATGCTTTGCTTGCATATCTCCTAAGATAACAAAAGGAAACAAAACTGAAACCCACAAAAACATGCATTGTGGTTTCTCCTTACAGATTTTTATTGGTGGTATTATTTGCAATGTAGGCCTTCGGGTTGCCTCCAGGGTTTTGCTTTAATAGCTTTTTGCAATAGTTCTACGTCTGGTAGTACTTACTGAACAATCCAGGGTTTAAGATCTTTAACTGAGCATCCCAGATCCAAGCCGAGCATCCTTAATTTTTATTAAAGAGAACAACTTCTCCATCCAAGTTCAGAACCTTAGATTTTGAATGTGAATTTATATAGCTTTAAAAATAAACAGCTTGGAGCCTCAATCTTGCAAAATGGCAAATACCTAGTTTTTGCTTTTTTTTTGTTGACCCCAGAAGAATAATTGACGTCACTTAAAGTAGGTTAGAGAAGAAAGCATCATCTGGAATAGATATCTTACTGATGAACTGTAATGGTTTTATAGCGCTTATTCAACTCCTCACCCTTAGATTTAGTAAACGCCATCCACCTCATTAACTTCAGTTTTAGAAAAGGGAGCGACTTTGCCCCACTGCTTTTACTTCACTGATTTTTGGGTTCTTGAAAACGAGCAGGAGTGGTTTTTTTTCATTATTCTTTGAAACGATAATGCTCCATATGTCAGAATGATTTCTGATAGCAACAAACAGAAGTTCTTGGGTTACAATAAGAATAGGACGCACGTATGGTCCTCCTGTGTCAGATTAAAGCAGGCAGATTTCAGCATATTAGTACAGACCATATAGTGGTGAATATACAACTGCTGTCAATTCTGTATCTATATTTGAAGTTACTGACCCAAATCTGTTACCTGAAAATACGTAGCATGATTCTGGAGATTGTCCATGTATTCAACAGCAATGGGAAAGGTTCAAAACAAATTCTGCTTCAGACCAAAGAGATACAAAAGTTCTCTTTGTGAGAAAAAGAAAACTGGCCACTAAATTCTAAAGGGGGCAACAGAAATCACTTCTGCTTCTCTTGCAGAGTGTGAGGTGGGATATATACCTACTGCAAGGAAGGATGCATTATCTCTACATGGAGCAGATGTGTAAGCACCTTATTCAAGAACTACCAAAGCACTTGCTTCCTTCTTCTAAAACCTTTCCAAAATAAAGCATTTCAACATGTAAAAAAACCCCGTGGAACTACAATTACTAAAAAAAGCTCTAATTTTTAAACTTATAAAAGTAAATATATGTTCTGCATTCCTTGTTATTCAGCAGCATTCTACATTAAACGGTCAAACGCTATCTTGCAAAGTCCTTATGAGAAAGTGCTTTGCTGCCTGGGATCCATTTATTAGTTACAGCAGAGATTAAATCAAGGATTTTGCAATGCATGTGTGAGCACAGTTTTGTGATCTTTTCACATCCTACTTTTTTTGTTTTTTAATGTTTGATCAAATCTACTGTAGAAGCAGCTAATTTTAAGTTCCTTTCTCCCACCTTCCTTCTCCTCAATATTTTGAGGTTTGCACTGCATATCTTCCCTCACAATTTAGGGTGTCTTGAGTCATTTTTTTTAAAATATATCTTTTGTTACTGCTTCTTCTGTTGGAAAAGAAAAATTTGTGGAGGAAATGTTTCACGGCCCATTCTCCCCTCCCTTGGTTGTAGATGCATAACAGACTTCATTTATCCTGTTGTCTATCTACAACTATAATGTACAGTATTTTACTGCCAAATTGGAATTAGGTTGTCACAATTTCAGAGGGACATAAGGAACTGTCATGGGTCATTCGGCTCAATATTGCTGACACTGGCTCTCTAGAGATTCAGACAAGAACCTTTTTTCCAGTCCTACCCTACCGTGAGATATCAGTCCTTTGGCACACAGAGCATGTGGTCCACGACTGAGCAATGGCCTTTCCCTATCATTCAACATCAGCAGTTTTCAAAGTAACTATAAATGCACAATTACACAGAGAACACAAAAGATCCTGTGGCTAAGTGGTGAGAAGCTGGTACCTAGCAAGATGTCAGCATTCCTGCCCACATCTCCTATACATTTAAACATCTGCTATATTAACTCTTGTAACTGGCATCCATTATGTTTTGAATGCTGAAGCAGATGATACTGTGTGCATTTGCTACCTGTAGGGATGTGAACAGTAAAAATTTTCATTTTTGCTTTGTTTTGGATTCTTGGGGGTGGGAGTTTGGCCTCTTTTATTATTTTTGTGCACAATCATTTCATTTTACACAAAATTTTGGGTAATTCCATTTTGGCTTCCCCTAGTTTTTTTTTTCTGGCAGTAATCCAAACTGTGGTTATCCTTCAGTCTCGAGAGACTGTGGTAACGTGCTCTGAATAGTAGTCCAAAAAGCCCCTAAAACTGTGAGGGAGAAGCACAGACAAGGCAACAGAGAATCAATCTATCCCAAAAGCAGGCAACACTGCAACCGACATAAAACAAAATACCCCCCAAAAAAGAACCAATATATACAATTTAACAGCATAAAAACACAGTAAATTAACCATAACAATTTAAAAAAATCTAATACGAGAATCAATCTATCCCAAAAGCAGGCAACATTGCAACTGACATAAAACAAAATACCCCCAAAAAAAGCACCAATATATACATTTGAACAGTATAAAAACACAGTAAATTAACCGTAACAATTTAAAAAATCTAATAAATAAAGCACTCCCCACAATACAAAGAAAAAACAGCAAAATAAAACACACACACACATATCTCCTTTCTTTAAAAATAAAAAGAAAGAAAAGCATGCAAATAACGGCAAAAAATAGAATCAAAGCCTCCCAAACAAAACAATTAGCATATAGGAAGATTTCCCTCCATATATCTTTTGAGGTCTTCCTTTACTACTTCTTTTTCGAGACTAGCGCAGCAGCAAGCAGGCAGTAAAAATAACTCAAGAAAGGAAAAGACGGGGGGGGGGGAAGAGAAGAAATCCCAATAAAGTCAGGACAGGAAAATAATTTTTTAAAAAAATAACCCCAAGGAGGCACACTGGCTCAGATATGCCTGACAGCAAAATTAAAAATAACCCAAAGAAATTGGGAAGGGGGAAATCCTTCAAAAAAAATCAAAGAGAAAAAGAAGGCTCAAAGACAGAGGCCCAGGTGTCCAAGCAGAAGAAGGTGAAAGGTGTCAGGAGCTCACACACTCACTCACAGGGAATTACAGATTTAAAAGAAAGACCATTCCCAGTGAATTCCAATCAATCCAAGTTATTTCACAGCTTCAAAATTCTTGCGCCTCCAGTGTTATAACTGGTTGCTGACAACAGCTCTCATGACTATTGGATGGAAATTTTCCCAGGTAATTTGACAGACACAGGGTGAAAGAAAGGTTAAACAAGAGGGAAACTTGAAATAACACAAAAACGTCATGTTTCCTTCCTTCTTTAGTAGGGATTATTCATGTTTACCACAGACTCTCTTTGGGGAATCATCCAAAGAACACACACATAAAAAAGCTTCTGTCATTTAAAAAAAAATTTGTGAGAAGTCTCATTCCTTGCTACAACACTCCCCTGACCATAAATATAACAATATAAAAATGAGTCTTACGGCACCTTAAACATTTATAAGCTTTATTTGGCAGAAGTTTTGTTGGGAGTCCTGCCCACTTCATCAGATACATACACAGAAACTTTTGCCAAACAAACTAGTCTATAAGGTGCCACAAGACGCTTCGTTATTTCTGCTGCTATAGGCTAACATGTCATGCATGTCTCCTCAGATGTAACCACCCACTGAGTATGTTACTCCTGGGTAACAGGCTAGACAGTTAAAATTGCCAGCAAACAGAAGTGACTGCACTTTTCAACAATTTAAAAAAAAGTAAGAGCATGTAAAAAAATGAGAGAAAACAAACATTAGTTTTTAAAATAATAGCAATAATGTTACTGGCAATCCCATTATTTTTTGCATTTCTCCAGAGTTCTTTACATGGTTATAAACAGACTACACAAACAAAACACATTCAATAAAGAAAGTTTAATTTGCAATAGGCGGAAGTTTGTTTTGGAGATTCCATACAAGAACTTCAAAGACTGTTGACAGAAAAGTACACATATAATATCTTAAAAATCTATTTCATTTTGACTAAATTTAGCACCTATTTCTAGTTCATTTAATCAGGCTGAGATATTTGTCCTGTAAACTACAAAAAGGAAAAAGAACAAAATGAAAGAAAAAGTTGACCTATATTAAATAATGTGAAAGGAAAAAAACAGTTACAGTAATACAAAGGAACAGTACAGAGGCAAAAAAGTAAAGATTTTTAAAAAGTAAAGATTTCAGAAATTCGTACCACAAGAATATTAACCGTAATAAAAAAGAGAAGACATTGAAACCAGCCGTTTGTTAGGTGCCAATATGTAATAGAACCCATAAGACAAGCAGAGAATGATGCTGAGTTAAGGAGAAAGGGCCTGTTTTTCAGCAAAGAACTTCCTGACAGCCACTACAACAAAGCCGTGCCAAATGGTGACTGTGTGGTCCCCCTTCGTGTTAATAAATCAAGCGTCAAAGGTTGATCTGCAATTCATAAGCAGCCTAAGCTTTTTCCAAGGACTTGTAATACTCTGTCAGCACAGTCCATGCTTTAGGGGCCATGAAACCTTCAGGAGGATTTTGCCCTTCTCGAGCCAGTTTACGCATGCGAGTTCCTGAAATGAATTCAAAATCTTCATGGCTGAAAAAAAGAAAAAAAGAAAAACAAAGGCATTTCAGGATGATGATTCAACAGTTTCAGTTTAACTCTGTTTCTCTTTCAAAATCTAATAATGGGATTCACAAGTGCTTCTGGTCAACGGCAGACAGGCTCGAATACTTTGTGATGCATTTTTATATAAAAGTTCCAAAATCAGACAGACAAATGGAATGGGTAGCAAAATATAACAGCACAGAACGACTAAGATCACAGTTCCAGTCAGCAGGCTATCTCTTTGGAGATACGGGGCTGCTTACACCGTTTGCCTGTATAATCCAATTCACATTCCCTCTCCCAGTTTTCAGTTATTGGGATGGGTTGTTATTTAAATATGACAAATGGAATGGGTAGCAAAATATAACATCACAGAACGAGTAAGATCACAGTTCCAGTCAGCCGGCTATACCGTTTGCCTGGATAATCCAATTCACATTCCCTCTCCGTTTTCAGTTATTGGGATGGGTTATTATTTAAATATTTTTATATTACGGGAAGACTTTGGATTCTCCCTGGCCCTGCTGAAATATCTAGCCTTCAATCCAGGTTACTGCTCAATATGATTCAAATCAAATCACTGCAGTGTGGATAAAAATGGGTGATTTTAAAAATCATTTTAAAATCAGAGTTTTTAAAATTTAAATTGTTTTTAATTTAAATTGGATTTTTTTAAAAAAATGATTTTTATCTGTCCTGCAGTGATTTAAATCAATTTGATTTAAATCCAATCTACCATGACACTAGTATAACTTGCATTGAGGATTCATACTAAGAAAATTGAATTCATCAATTACAGTATGTGGTAGATAGGATGCCAAGTTCACCAGTATGTTCTTGTGTATCTCGTTGAATTAATACCTAAAGAAAAAGGTAAAGGATAAAAGATTCCCCTTGACAATTAAGTCCAGTCACATCCAACTCTAGGGGCCAAAGAGCCAGCATTTGTCCATAGACACTTCCCGTAGTCACACGGCTGGCATGTCTAAGACATGGAATGCTGTTACCTTCCCACCGAGGTGGTACCTATTCATCTACTTGCATTTGCATGCTTTCAAACTGCTAAGTTAGCAGAAGCTGGGAGAAGTAACAAGAGCTCGCCCCATTGCGTGGATCTGAACTGCCAACCTTCTGATGGACAAGCTCAGTGACTCAGCGGTTTAACCTGCAGAGCCACTCATGTCATAGCAATTTAATTTAATTGGCTGCAGAAATTTAAGAAGGACTCAGTCTGTTGCAGTGACTCTTATAAGTGACAATGTGGAGTCTGTACCCATCAGTTTAACAGTCCTTAGAACAAAGATGAACATCATCCGTCTTGGATACTTCTCAAAGGCAACTGGATGATCATTAAGGAGTCAGTACAATAAGATCCTGGTCTTTTTGATCAATATGTTTCTTGGATTAAATGCAACAGCAGATTTTTTTTTAAAAAGTAGAGGGTGTTTTTTCCCCATGAGAGAGAATATTTTAATTTGGTCAGAAGCAAGAAATATCTAAAATTATCAAATGGACCATGGGACAAAAATCGGAAATCCAGGTACTGGACGTACAGAGACTGAGTAAATAACTAAAGCAAACATGCAATCTCCAAAAGGAAGAAGGCAGTGCAATAGAAAAATCAAGGAGCAGTATGGCACCTTTATGTCAAACACATATATCTGATTCTGTTGTTCTAAGCAGCATTTTCTTCATCAGATGCACTGTAATTTCTGTATCATTATAGTGCCCTTATGACCAAAACACTTTTGGGTGGCTCCCAAATTTCTTTTGCCATCTACAGCAAAAGGTCTTGGTGAATGGATCAACTCTTTGCCACCAGGACTAAAATTACTTTGCACCCCTGGAATTTCAACCCATTGCATTCCTTAGAGGAAATTCTCTCTATTCTACATATTTTCCATATAACACTGTATTTTCTTATTTAGCTCAAGCACTCAAGAACCCTTATCTTGACTTTGATCTTCTAGCTTCTATTGGCTTATTATTTACTGAGCAATACCAATCTGAAGAAAGTCAGCATGACTGAACAAGCATGCCCAAAGAATAACTCTCCTGTGGCTCAGAATTATGCATAGCTTGATTTGAGCCAAGATATCAATGGCTCCCACTTGTATATGAGCACAGAACTCTGCAGAATTAAAAAAAAAATTAATACAGCCTTTCAAGAAACAGCCAAAAGTATTTCTAACAATGTGTCCTAATAAGAACAGTTCATTTTCCACTTAGCCTGGTGTTCAAAATGTCTTTAGACTTTTTAAAAATGTTATTTGTAGAATTGGCTGTACTGAGCATTAGAGAAAAAGGAAGTCAAGTGGAAAATCTTAAAGAGGATTAAAAAGCACTATTTAAGGACATAAATCAAGCAGGACAAGATACTGCTAATGTGGCTTTTATTAAACATTTTTATACAAGCATATCCGGGGGGTGGGAGGCAAAATATTGTGGCACTTAAAAGACTAACAAATTGATTTCAGCTTGAGATCAAAGTCCACTTTCTCAGATATTTTGATCCATAAAAGCTCACCACTGAAATAAAACTGCTAGTCTTTAAAGAGCCTCAATATATTCTTTTTTTTTTTTACAACATGCTCAGACCTCTTTTTTCCTCTCTCCTAGTGTCTGTTCCATCTTGTCCAAAGTTTGTCCCCTTTTTAAAATTGTTTTAATTATATTGTATCATGCTTGTTGTAAGCCGCCTAGAGTGGTCTTAAGTGACTAGATAGGCGGGATATAAATAAAATAAATAAATAAATAACATGGCTAATTCTTTGGAAAATTCTATAACATAGACAACTGATTGCTATTCAGCAGCTATGATTACTCTGTGCCAACAAATTAGCTGTATACAGATATTTCCAGGTTTATAGCAATATAGATCAGGGGTTCCCAAAGGGTGTGCCCCAGAGTGTCTCCCTTCTCTTTCTCTTCCCTGTTTAGTTCTCAGCAGTCTACTGTACTACTGTATATTGATTTAGGTTCCTCCCTTCCTGCCTTTGTTCCTAATCTCAGCTAATGATTTGATCCTGGTTTAGGCCCACAGAGGTTGTATGAGTATTCTGGATGCCCTGCCCTATCTTTCATGCAGGTGTCATGCAGGGCAGGGAGGCCATGGTGCTGCAACTGATCCCTTTGCCTCAACACTCATGGGGCATCCAAGAGGCTTGCCAGCCAAGCAACCGTGGGAAGGGGAGGGCTGTCCCAAATAAAATCACAGTGTGTGTGTGTGTGTGAGAGAGAGAGAGAGAAAGAGAGAGAGAGATCCCATCCCTCCCAGTCACTGCAAAAGTGCGATAAAGAGCAAGTGAGGAGAGGGTAATCCCACAGGACCCCTACTCCACCCACCAACAGTCCTTATCACATATTCATCCTTCCATGATCTCCCTTCTTGGTGGATGTTGGAGGGGACAAGCATGAGGGCTCCCACAGGCCCAGTAAGGGGTTGTCTTGAGACCTGGGTTCCTATAGGGGGAACCCCATCATCTCACCAGTCAAGGGGGGGCAGGCCAGGACAGGAGAACCCACTGGGATCCCTGGCCTTGCCTTTGCCCTGGCCTCAGTTTCTCTCAACACTTAGCTGCACTCCTGCCTTGCCTACCGTCCCTTTCTTTCATCTTCCTCCTCTAGACATCTTCAGTTCCCTTAAATCTGTAGTTCCCAAACATTTTTTTTACTTTCTCCTCCCTCCCAAACCATTGGGGGGAATTGCACACAGTAGGTCAAGGAAGCCATGAGTCCAAAGTTTGGGAACCACTGGAATAGATTACTATTAGAGCCACTAAAACTGCAAACTGGGTACATGCAGCTTCAAGGTAAAGGGGGAAATGGTTGATGTGGGTTTTTCGGGCCCTTTGGCTGAAGGTTGTTCTTCCTAACGTTTCGCCAGTCTCTGTGGCCGGCATCTTCACAGGACAGCACTCTGTGGTCTGGTGGATGTTGGAGGGGTCAGACAGACCTAAAGGGGAAAACGTTTGGCTGGCTCAATGATTGCATTTTTATGCTGTCTTTTTCTCTTTGATGGGACTCAAGGCAGCTCATAAAATTGTCCGAACAAATAAGAATTAAAACAAACATTAGAAAGATATTAAACATTGAAACATGCATCTAAAAACCCTTTTAAAAACATAAAAAGCCATTAAAAATGTATATAAAACATCAAGCATACGGCATTTAACTATAGTAAAATCAGCTATTAAAAGCCTGTCTGAAAAGAAACTTTTTCACTTGTCACCAAAAAGTCAAGAGAGCCTCAGTGAGGAGAGCGCTCTATAAGGTGGGGGCAGCCACCAAGAAGGCCCCCTCCAACATTCCCTTCAAACCTATCTGTAAAGGTGATGTGAGTGAGAGGAAAGTCTCCCCAGAAGACTGTAAGATTCAGGGTAATACTCATTACACAGCAGTGTCCATTCTAATGGAAAAGGTAACTGTTGATTCAACTTCCACATGAAGACCTGATATATAATCATTTATTTTCAGCAAAAAAAACCCTGCATTTCTACCAGTGCTGATTGGTAGATAGACTATTAAAGATTTTGAATTAAAAACACTTCCTGTGCTGAATGAAGTTCCTCAAGTTTTTGGGCCATTTTCAACATGATGGATCTAAGACTGATTCATTGTATCATGTGCTTAATGTTCCTGGAAACACATTCCAAAGTATTTGTATTTGTAAACACTTTGTCCCATACTGAGCCAGAAAAATGGCTAGTTTTTCATCCCACTTCACTTATGAAGAATCCTAAGATACCCAAGAACGTAAATATGTAATCATAATTATATTTATGATAATCATAATCATAGATCTGCAGAACTGGAAGGGACCAATGTTCCCTTTAAGCTGTGTGTGTGCTTGCCCAGAGCACCGTTGGAGTTGCGGACAGGTAGCTGGCTTGTTTACCTCCCATTCCAAATGAAGCCCCGCCCATCTCAGTGCACATGGACTAAGGTTCCCGTGCAGAGGGACAGAAACATAGATGTAACATTGGAAG